TACCCCACCACCACCCCACTACCCCACCACCACCCCACTACCCCACCACCTCCCAACCACCACCCCACTACCCCACCACCACCCCACTACCACCGCCACAAAATCTAACTTGTTAATTTTGCTTTTTTAGCCCGAGGGCCTCCTTTCCTTCCTTGACTCGTGTGACGCACCTCCCGTGACGGAGAAAGACTACCTCTTCATTCGCGACAACTTACAGCTGGCCCAGGTAAGCCGAAACCATAGCTCCGGCTGCCGCTGCCTCGTTCTATCATGCCTCAATATCCGTCTGCATGTGTGTACTGTTACGACCACTTGCCAGTTGGCCACTGCGTGTCTTGAATGATGTATTAATTGTGCTCGGGTCGATGTAGTCCATACTATCACTCAGAAACAATGCCAAGTATTTCGATGTGGGCGTATTTGTCGCCACATGTCCACTACGGCTGTTGTCTGGCGGTTTGCGCTTCATGTCTTTTTTTTTGCTGTGGCGCTATCTAGGAGCACGTGCTGCGTGTGCAAAGCAAGAAGTCCGAGCCGCTGTACATCCTGCAGGAGCGCGTGGACGGCATTCTGCAGCACTGGCGCGTCAAAATCGGGCTCCAACCAAGAAAGGTACAGTTCTTTCGTGTTCGTGTGCCACGTCGACGGATGTTTAAATTTTCTGCTTACTAATTATAAGTAGTTAGCACTTTACATAGTGGAAACAACTCAGCTAATGTGTGCATCTAGACAAGGGAATTGGGTTTCAGAAAACAAGGGCTGTTTACAATGGGTGTGTGTGTCATTTTCAGGCCTCCACACCCAACATCGAGGATAAGCCAGTGGCTCTGCGTTTGACGCGTCGCATGCGAATCAAGTTGGGCACCCCAGACACCAAGGTGAACGGGAAACAGCCGGAGTTGCCGAGGCCTCTCAACTGGCCTTTCTTCTACTACAATTTCCGACTGGACCACGCCAAGCCGGATCTCATCTGGAATTTAAGGGTCAGTGGATTGCTGTGTGGAAAGTCTACTAATTAAGTGTTCAGTAGTGGCGTTTTATTCTCGAAAATTATGCTTACTAGCATCGTCTTCAATTATTTTTCTTCTTAAGCTTTGTTAAAATCAATTTAATTAACATTATTTTCACAAAGTAAGTGTGCATAAAGTTGGAAGGTCAGATTCATGTAATTGTCATTCCCCTCTAGTATTGATTTCCAAAGTGGGATTCTGTGGCCTGTGGTTTTTTACAAATCTTTTTCTGTTGCTTCGCGATCATTTCATCACTTTTTGTTGTTTTATCGTTTATCCGCCCATTGAATGCTCATTAAATGCAATTTTGTTGCTTTGTGGTCGTTGCCTCCGGAACCCATTGCCCATCCCATAATTTTTGAAACGCATTACCTACTTACATTCAATAAGTAGCTAGTGTTATCTTAGTCTATATTCTCTTAGACGCGCGATGAATTAAAAGATGCTCTCGAGAAAGAGATAGGCGAGTACCGTCGTGAGAGCGAGTACTTCTCCTACAGTTGCCTGGAGGAGCCCTGTTCGAACGTCGAGGGCGGTTGGGAGGATGCCTTCGAGACTGGAAGCATTCCCGACGTGGAGCAGTCATCATCACCACCCACAACCAATGGGGTTGATGCTGCTGGTTCGCCTGACCAGGGCATTGATGTTGCCGCTTCCACCCCTGCTAGTGATGAGGGCGAGGGCGCAAGTAAGAAGCCTCCTGTAGACACCCTAGAGGCGCAGGTGCAACGGCTTTTGAAACAGGCAAGGGATCTGGAAAAAAACATTCTACTGTCTATTTATTAGTAGACAACTAATTACGAATTTGGTCTTTGTTAGGCAAATATGGTGTCTTGGAATCACGTTGAATTCCGTGTGCGCTATCACAGTCTCTCTGCTGAGCCTCAGGTCGGGAACTACTTTCTTCGACTTCTGCTGGAGGAGGACAAGCGAATCACCTCGGCCGAAGCCGTCACCTCTACCGACGCACCAAACTCATTGGGTTTATCGAGAATCAAGAACAGGTGCGCTGTCAGCAGTGACGCCTGATGACCCTCTCCAAGCGATGCGTCCTATAAGCGATTCCCTCTTCTTTTTTTAGCCGGGACTTCTTCAGCGAACTGTTCCGTCGTTACCTGCAGTACAGCGCAGCCGCTGGCTCCCTCGCGTACTCTTCCTATGGAGGTGGCGGTGGTGGTGGTGGCGGGAATCTGGCCAAAAACAACCCGCTCGCTCGGTCGCGTCGGACAGAGCGAAGCAACCACCGGCTGTCGATGCGTTGTCTGTGCTTGAATGCGATGGCCATCGTCTACGGACGGTGCCACAAGGAGATCGGAGCGGTCTCGGACATACCCCTTCTTGTTCACCTCCTCGACAGGACGTCCTCGGCGGCCGAGCGAGACTCCCTTCTGACGCTCCTGGAAAAACTCGTTGTTAATAAGGCAAGTATCTGCGGTGTGAGGTCGAATGTTGGTAACTTTTTTTCCTTAAAATGTGTGTCTGGCGTAAGTCTTGTGAATGAGTGTGTGCAATGCTGACCAGAGGGGCTTAGAGTCAGGGGTTCTATATTCTTTCTGGAATGTTTCTGCGTCATGCATTGTTGACAAGATGTTCTCTAGTCGCTAATTATGCTCGAGCGTGTCGTTAAAGCCTTTGAAACTGTGCTCCACCATCTCCACCACCCTACCATCAGCTCACCACCACCACCACCGTCATTTCTAGCTCCACCGCATCATCTCCACTCTCGTACCGCCACCGTCACCCCACCAGTAACACCACCACGGCGCCATCACAACCTTACCACTGTCACATCACCACCTCAATCACCACCACCCCCACCGTCATCTCCAACTCCACCACATCATCTCCACTCTCATACAGCCACCATCACTCCACCAGTAACACCACCACGGCGCCATCACAACCTTACCGCCGCCACGTCCCCACCACCATCACTACCGATTCTCACAGTCGCTCCCTCCTCCCCCTCCTTTAAGTACAACGCGGACGAATTCCTTGAGGCGGACGGCGTACGCGTGGTGACCGACCTCGCGTGCCTCTCTCACCTCCACACCAATCGGGCCCCCGTACCAAGCCAGACCAACGTCCTCAAGGCCGGTGACGATCCGGAGAGCCTGGAAGGCGGTGGCGCCACCCAGCGCGAATGGTGGTACTGGAAGACCACCGACCCTCCCGGTTCGCAGGGCCCCTTCACGTTCGCCGAGGTGAGCTGCTGAAATCTTGTACTTCTTGGAGCCGCGTTCTGAAGCGGTCTCATTATGTTACTGCGGACCTGGCAGTTATGACGACGCATGTATAAAACTCTGTTAATCTCCTTTACTGACGCTTGTCTCGTAGATGCGCGAGAAGTTCGCCAGCGGGGCTCTTGCTCCCAACGTCTACGTGTTCGCCCAAGGCCTGGACAGCCAGCCGCGGTGTCGAATCGACGGCGTCTACGCTGACTCCGACGACGAGTCTGGCGCGTCAATGTCCAGTGCGGCTTTCGTCTCCTTCGGTGCTACCACCACCACTGGCAACAGCGCCGGCTCGAAGAACTCCACGCAGACGCCCTCTGCGTCCACAATGGGCTGGGTGCCGGCCTACCGGGTCACGCAGCTGCGCTGGTCGGTTCCACGACTGCTCGGCGGTGAATATGCGGACGACGAGGAACGCGGGTCTGCCAACTGCACTAACGGCGGCGGTGAGGATCTCATCTCGAAGCTGGGCTACAGCCACGGCGCACTGTTGGATCACACAGCGATGGCGATTCGCTGTGTCGAAGTCCTTCTCAGGCTCTGCGAGAGCAGCTCCTCGCGAGACGCCGCCACGGGCGGCATCATTCGACCTCTACCGCGTCCCAGACGAACAATCTCCAACCCCTTCCACCTTCCTCACATTGTACAGGTGCGGGTTTTGGTCTGGCTGGTTATGCCACGCATGACTCATTTTTCCGTTCAGCTTCCTGTTTCAATTAACTAGCCAATCAGAGAAGAGATTCTATGATATTCGGGCAATAGGCACCTTTTCAACCAACCAAATTAACCGTTCGTTGTTGTGTAAAACTTCAACCCGATCGCTGTAACCAGTTCTAACCGCCCGCACTTTGATGTTTCCATTTTCTGTTTGTGTGCAGCTCCTCCTGACTTTCGACCCTCCGCTCGTTGAGAGGGTTTCCTCTCTCCTCCTTCACGTTATTGACCAGAACCCCTGTCTTCCCCGCATCTACCTAACCGGGGCGTTCTTCTTCATCCTCATGTACACCGGGAGCAATATCCTTCCGATCGCGCATTTCCTCAAGGCGACCCACCTCCTCCAGGCTTGTCTCGCTGAAGAGGTAAAATAATTACTACTGTGCATAACCAAGTAGTGTGATTTTCTGTGCCAACTGTATCCTGGCGTTTCAGTCACCCCGACAGTCATCCGAACTGCAGTCGCGCTCGGTGTTGGGCAAGATCCTCCCCGACGCGATGATCTCCTTTCTCGAGAACCACTCGCCGGAGAAGTTTGCCGAAATCTACCTGGGCGACTTCGACACGCCGGAGGCAATTTGGAGCCAGGAAATGCGGTATGTGTCTGGTTCCCCCTGAAAGTCGCGTGGCTCTTCTTTTTTCCCGTCGATTAGCACTTCCACGTTTTCATGCGTTGCTGTTGTAGGCGCTTCATGATTGAGCGTCTGGCCGCCCACCTGGCCGACTTCACGCCACGCCTGAAGAGCAACATCCGTGCCATCTACCAGTACATCGGCATTCCCACCATCGTCTATCCACAGCTCGAAGGCGAACTCTTCGTCAATTGCTACTACCTCCGCCACTTCTGCGACACCAATCGCTTTCCCGATTGGCCAGTGAAGGACGCGGTGCGTGTTTGACCGGAGGTTTCACACTGGCTGTATTCAACCAATCACATCATCCCTGTCTTCTTCTATTCTAGATTGCACTTCTGCGCGACATTCTAGGCACGTGGCGGGATGAAACCAATAAGAAACCCTGCAAAATCAGCTACGAGGACTCGCTTCGAGAACTCGACTTGGATCCGTCTGCTCTCAACGAGTAAGTTGAGCTTAGTTTGAACCGTTTGATGTGACCCGTGTGGTTGTAGAGAAAACGAGGAAGCCACAATACGTCGGGCGTACTACCACTTGTCCATGAAATATCACCCCGACAAGAATCCAAATGGACAGGCCAAGTTCCACGCCATCAACTCGGCCTACAACTTTCTGTGCAATCGTAGTCGCATTTCCGACGGTCCGAATCGCAGGCACATTCAGCTGCTCATTCGCTCTCAGAGCATCCTTTACAATCGCTACCGCAGAGGTTAGTTTTGTGGATGCTTGTTAATGGGTGCTACTTAGTACATGTAAGTAGGCGGTATTTTATGTTGTAGAATTGGCGCCGCACAAGTACGCAGGCTACCCGATGCTTATTCGCACTATTCGCATGGAAGTCGAAGATGAGAGTCTCTTCATGAAGCAGAGCAACGATGGTGACAAGACCTCGAGCAAGACCGCAGAACTCCTCTCCTACGCAACTGAACTGGCTTACGAAACTGTCGCGACCAGCGCTCTGAACGCGGAGGAATTGAGGCGGGAGGGTGGGCTGCAGACACTCCAGGTATGCTCAACTGTTTGCACGTGTGAGAATACCAGCCAATAATGTCGAAAGATCGCCTTATTGCGTGAGGCGTGCTCGATCAATCAGAAGCGGGATGGCGTATTTCACAAGATTTGAGACTTGGTTTTTTTGTTGTAGGACGCTTTCGCCCGTTGTTCGGCTCTCCTCTCCCTCGACGACGCCCTCAACAACCCCCTGGCTGTCAGCGTGTGCTGTCACGTGACCGGCTTCTTCACCGTCTCCACCAAGTTCCCGGCGTCGCGCGAGTGCATCCACGAGATTCCCCAGATCACTCGTGACATCCTGCGCCTCCTCTACTACAAGGCAGGTCCCTTGTCGTAGTGCTTTCGACCTCGGAGGATGATGTCTTTTTTTGTTCGCTACGATTGTTTCCACCCCTTGTAGAATCTTCCTCGTCTGTGTTGCCAAGCGGCCGCCTGCATTGCTGCCTTCTGCGACGACTTCTGGCTGTGCAGTAAAGTCTACGAGAACGGCGGAATGTACATGCTGCTTTACCATGTTCTCGCCTACGACTTCACCCTAGAGGAAAGTGGAGTTGACACGAGCAGTGCTACTAATACTCAAGTAAGTAGTCAGTTTTTTGGATGCATTCCTTGCACCTGCAACCATCGTGTAACCCCTCTCTTGCACAGCTCACATTGAATCGCCTGTCTCTGCTGTGTCTCTGGGCAACCAGTCGTCTGCTTCACGGCTGCTCCGCAATCGCCAGCCCCGATGAATCGCCGCACGAGGGACCGCCCGTTGAACAGGCCCTGAACAGGCTCGTGACGCCGCACATTGCTCGCAAGCTGGCAGCCCTCGGCGCCATGAAGGCTCCCACCCCGGTCGCGAACATCGATCGCCTATTGGATGGCGACTTCCTCAGCGCCGCCAGCGAGTCGGGCCAGGCGCTGCGTCGGTTGGCTAAACTGCTCACAATCAATTCAGCGACCCCCTGCTTCATCTGGGACAATCAGTGCAGAGCCGAGTTGACTGCATTCCTGGACGACCAGGTCTCACGCCTCGTCAAGACGGTGTGTTGTCCGCATCAGTTTTTTTTAATGTATTAGTAAAATACTACTTGCTAATATCCTTGTTTGACTGGCTTCTTGTTTTTTTGCAGGGCGAGGCTGACCTGGAAGCCGTGAAGGCATTCGCTCACAAGAAGTTCCAGGGAGAGCTCCTCATTGGCGAGATATTTGTGCGCATATTCAACAAGCAGTCGACGTTCCCCTTGGACGTAAGTTGTGCTTATTGATTGTACGCTATGCGTCGCACCCCTTGGCAGTCTCTTATCGATTCATTGGTATGGCGAATTCTTCATTTCAAAAACTAGTTCCTGAGGTCATTCGAACTTGCACGATGTCGCCTAGCATAAAACACCCCAAGCCAGACCAGCCAATGACGTGATTTCGGCTGCTAACGTGTAGCGTCAAACGCCATTTTTCTGCCCGTAGAATTCACGCAGCTTTGCCATCGATCTGCTGCACTACCTCGAGAAGGAGGTCGCCCTGTTGCCGACCACTTCGGACGGTCTGCCGGCCACCACGCAGCGCGTCAACCACATCGAATCGGCCCTCGAGGCACTGCGCAATGTCATCCGCAGTTACGCCGGTCAGTGGCTCGGTATTTTTGTGCTAAAATCGCACGCTCCGTAGCGTTTGCTGGTCTTCCACTTGTCTCACCTCCCATGTTGTGTTTATCTTCCTGCAAGGTCGAATAAAAGTGCCTAGTTGTCATATTTACAAACCTTTGGTAATTGGGCAGGCCTCCACTCTTAAGTTTTTCCGTTTTGCAAAAATTATCTTTTGATTTTGGTTTATGATGGCAAATTTTTATGCTGCCAGCTTTTGGATAGTGCTATGCGTGTCTACGTATTCCGCCTTGGGGGTGAATCTAGTGTGGTCGACGCTCGCTAGTGATTGGCTGCGTTCCGACCAATGGCATGCTAAGCTGGAACCGGTGGGTTGGGATTGGCTGGACCGTGGCCAATGGGATGCGCCTCCAATAAATCACCATTTCGCGCTTTTTTCTAGGTGTCGAAATACAGTGCATCGGTCACTTCAGTATTCTCTTCGCCATCCTCGATATGAACGGATATACAAACATGAAGTTGCGGTCCGTCGAGGTGCTACATTCCGCGTCGAAGAACCCCGAGTGTCTCAACGACATCCACGCCTCGAAGTTGCTTGTCGGAGCGGTCATGCTATTCCGCGCACTGCCTCAGGGTAAGTGGTAACCATTTCGCAACTAGAAGGTACTAGCGCACGCTTTGTGTTGCAGTCCGTCAACCGGCTGTGTTTGCTTGCATTCATGTCCACGAACCTGGCAGCTTCTTTCACACAATTTCCTAACTACTTACATTAATTGCGTAGACAAATAACCTTCTTCTCCACCTCTCTTTCAGCACAAATCCCCCTCGTGGATTTCTTCAACCACGCGATTGCCGTGAACGCCCTGTTGAAGGAGCTCGTCTACGCCGGCGGCTTGGTTTACCTCCTCGAGACGATCGTCACCTCGGAGATGCGCGACGTGCGCACGGCGTGCGTGTCCTTCCTCAGCCGGTGCATGGCCAACGCCCAGCTCGGCCGCAGGATCCAAGCCCTGCTCGGACAGTTCGTTCCCGCCATCTTCCCCGAGACCATTCGTGACACCCCCGAGCAGTTCATCCCTCTGTTCGACGGTACGTCTTGCTCCTCCTCAATGATTCGTGTGCCTGAGCGCCAGCCCGTGCATGTAGGCTGCACTTTGTGCGTTCAGCTGACGTAGGCACGAATTTGAATCTATCGAAGCGTGTCTTGCATGCGCTGTGTAGTCTATTCTTGTTCTTGTAGCCGACCACCAGAACCCCGAGCTTATTTGGAACCAGGCCTGCAGGGAGCGCTTGAGCGAGGCCATCATCGATATGTGCAACAAGTATGTTTTGGTGTTTTTTAACGCATGGCCACGCTCTGCAGCACTGACCAATCACCTTTCACTGCCACACACGTTGGTGCTATTAATTTCCTTCGTCATGCAGATTCGCCAAGCAGCAGCAGTCGAATCGGTCACTGCGCTGGTCCCTCCCGGACTCCTACTCCGTCTCCTACGTATCTGCGATATCCGAGAGTTTGCTTTCCCAAGGCCTGCTCACAGAATCCGACATCAGTAGTCTGGAGGCGTCTGGTGGTCTGGTCGTGGTGTCCGGTGTCTACCTGCATCTCTACGTCAACCAGCCCGGCTGGATGCTAAGGCAGCCGGACCAAGTCCTCGACGGGCTGATGGAGAAGCTCCTTGATGCAAGTCCTCTCGTGTCTTTTTCCTCACTCCCTCCCCCCCGCGGCCTCTTATTTTATCGATCTTTTCCCCATCTTACAGACCTTCCGGGGTTTGCCTTCTTCGGCGCAGCTCCTGCGTTTGTTGAACCGGGCTACTGTGCAACTCCTCACCGACCGGCCGGGTCTGCTGGACGGACTCCCCCGAAAGGGCTACCCCCATCGACTTTTCGATCTCTTCCCCACCGTCAATGAACCGGAAGGCGCTAAAACCTGTGCCCTTCTTCTCCACCGCATGTCTGTTAGCAAGGTACCTGAGCGCTTTAATGGGTCCTTCTTTTTCTTTCACCAAACCTTCTTCTTGTGGCAAACCACTGTTTCTGGCGGCTTTCATGTTCTTTCGAAAGCGCTTCCAGAAGTGGATTTCCACGGCATCTTGTCGGTGGAATTCCAGAACATTGAGGTACATCGTTAAGCTTAGTGACCTGCTGCATCTCTCTCTACCCACCGCAATCGAACGCAAAAAGGCACAAGCACAAAGTAGCCACTGACGCCACACTCTTGCGGGATTGGATCTTTGCTTTCCACAGGCCTTTTGCCATTGGCTCCTGTGACCCTCTCTTTGACCTTGCGGTAAAGACCGTCCAATGAGTTGATTGTATGTTTGCCCCGTTTTCCCCACTAGTTGTGCGTTGGCGCGATGACAGAACGCGAGACAATGGCCGGCTACCTCCACGTGATGCGTCACTGCATCGGCGAGGAACTCGGCACTGTTGGCGAATGCCTCTTCAACATCTTCAACACCACTGGCTGTGACCCCCTCGTTGCTCAAGTAAGTGTTGGGTCCAAATGCGTGGATTTCCTTCTCTAAGTGCAGGCTGTGGGTGCACGTAGAATGCGCCCCACGTCGGTGTGAAGTAAGGTCCGTCGAAGACAACAGTGTGTGTGTGTGGGTGGGTGTTGCCCCGTCGTTGGAGGCTCGCTAACCAGTAGTTATGTGTCAACTTGCAGGCCCTGAAATGCGACCTCATCGACTATCTCCTGCAGACCCTGCACCAGGGATTGCCGGTCACGGTTCGTGAACCGGGTCAGTGTCGAGCCTACATCGTCAAGGCACTGAAGGTCATGCAGAAGAACCCCGTCTACGGCACAAAGGTGCGTTCAAGCGCTTTCCTTCTCTCTCTCTCTCTCTCCCGTTGACCGTGGTTTCCTCAAACCCAGCGTCCTGGCTTGAGCAAAAATCGCTTTCGCCAGTGTTTTTACTGTAGGTGATTTGATTTGTAGGTGGCGGAGAAGCTGGAATCGGATCCGAACTGGGCGGAGTTTCGCGACCAGAGTCACGCTCTGTTTCTCACGAACGCGCCCCAGTCCACGGCCTCGGCGTACCTCACTGCCGGCGCAGGGGGCTCAAGCATGCACGCCGGTTTCCTCACCAGCGGCACCCCTGTCCCTCCCGCCGCCGCCGCCTCCTCATCCTCCTCCTCGTCGTCCCAGAGTCACCCGCAGCGACCCCCAGCCCCGACCGTTCCTCCCATGTACCCCATGGGCCCAGGCGGGGTCCCTACGGCACCTCCTCAACTCCCTTGAACTGATCGATGATGGCGATTTTTTTATACATTCTGTGATTATAGACGTGTGTGCACACGGACACTCGTTATTATTCATTATTATTATTCCCATTCTTTCATTTGCGTGTCTGTGTACGACCCTGCCTTCATTGTTTATGCTTTTCCTTCCTATAGCGACGATTTCCAGGCACACACACACGCACGTGATTTAATAAAATTTGCTTCAAAGTCAAGGCACTAGCGTGTTGTGAAAGTGAAGTTGGTCTGGTTGTGGAGTTTGGTGGCTCCTTCGTGCCTCGTCAATGTGTTGCATCTTGCCCGTAACCAAAACCAACCAATCAAGTGGGTGGTGCCTCGGATCCTTTGTCTGATCCTGGGCACCACCCTCCTCGCTTTCAACACCGATGGGGCGTTGGTGACTCACCCATGCAAATGGTGCGGTTTGGGGGGAATCGTGTGAACAAGGACGGCATTCCAACTCGTGATGCGGCGTTTATGGGAATGCAGGATCTCCAGCACAGTGGCAGCCTCTGGATGAATCTTTGTTCACATGCTTGTCTTATTTGAAGGATCTCTTGTTAATCTGTTCCGCATGTGCTTGCGTTGCTCTTCTGTATGATGAAATTATCATCTCAGTGTCGACCAAATTCACCTCGTCACGAATTTCGGCATACTGACGCAAGAGCGGAGGCGTGGTTAGCTTGTCTGAAGTGCTCAATGTGGACTGTCGCCGGTAACGCACGAATAGAAGGCTATTCGGACACGTTTACCTCAAGCTGGTTGGTGTCTACGAATCCCTCCTGTCCCCCACTGTTCTCTGTTCACATGTGACTATAGACTGATTATTAATGACTATTGGGGTTATAATATGTCCTTCCCGTGTGACTGTGTGTTAGCCGATTGTGCTAAGCTCACTCACTGTGCACAGAGGTAAATAGTGACCAAGCCAAGGTTTTCGTTAGCCAATCAGAAGGCAGCAGTTTTATAGAAAGAGACTCGACTACACGAACTGTGGCGGTTTACCTACTGGGCTAAGAATTCTTATTCGAAGTTAGGAGAAGGTGTTTGTTCAGTATTTGCTGTCTAACTAGTCGCCCTACTAAACCAGTTTAGACTGATGTCCAAAGAGTAGGACACGGTTGATATGGACGCTGATCAGGATTGCTTGGATACCAAATTTAGGAGGCAGTGTACGCACCCACTCAACTTTACCAAGATCCGGATCTCGCAAGCTGCAGATCTTCTTGGCTGAAAGGGCACCGATTTCCGCCAGGGGTTTTCTAATTTTCAGCAATGTTTATTTGCAATAAAAGTGGTTGTATTTAGAGTTTGGTAAATTTAGAGTTCTTTGCATTAAAATACCACCGTAGTTTCAGAGCTGGAGTCATTTTCTGCCTAAAAAGAAAGTTGATTTTTTGTAAGCATTTACGATTAAAAATATCGGTTCAAAATATTCCAAGTTTTTTCATAAATATCGGGTTTTATAAGTCGTGATCTGGTCATCGTGAAATTTTTCAGAAGGGAGGTTTACCACTGTGTAATTTCAACCGCATGAACAGTAGGCACAGTCGTTCTGAGGCCAATTGACACGTGTTATCTGCAATAATTTGACAAATCACAGACTGAAATCGGTGAACCGCCGTCTCGAATTGGATTCGCAATTACTGATTAAATGAAGTGCATAATATCTCTGGCAATCACCGAGATGCACCGTACAAGGCTGGTTCAAGTAGGACCGTCCTCTATTGGTCAGTAGTGGGTTGTCTCAACCAGGTGTCATGTCAAGTCCAAGAACGCTCGTTCGCCTTGCAGATCTGGATATTATTGATTTTCATGCAATGGCTCGGGTCTACAAGCGGTGACGTAAACCTCCATCACGTGCTTTATAATTAGTGCAAACGGTTGACGACGGCTATCTTTCAAGGTGGAAGGTCACCTTGTCTGGATGCACTAAACGGTGCGCCTTCAACTGTAGGGATTTGATCGGAGAAAGGGAGGCTGCTCGTGGTTCGAGGTTCTTACCGTTTGCTTGGAGGCGTCTTCGCCCTGCGATCCACTTGCTCTTCGTGACGTGGCGCAGTAGGTCAAGCGTACGTCGATGAAGCCTACGCATAGGACCGCCGCTGAAACCAGAAAACCCCTTCTCATTCTGTTAGTTTTTGATTAACCGGTTGCACACCCAAAATGAGCTTGTTAATGTCGGGGACATGGGAAAGATTATGCACAGATTGGCACGACCACATCACCACTTGGAGATGTTTTAGTTACTTTGTAACCGGTAGCCCGGCTACCTCCACGTGGAGAACTCGACACTCTTGGTGAATGCCTCTTCAACACCACCCTCGTTGCTCAAGTAGGTGTCGGGTCTACTTTACCATAGACCTAAACGAACTCGACCTTGATTTGACGGCTTATGTCTATTGAAACCTTTCAATTTTTCAAAGTGTTTGTGCCGTAGGAGTGTGTGTTAGTGAAAAAAGACTTCTTTATCGTTACCTGCGTAAATACCGAGTGAAAAGTCGAAATCTCACAACCGAGCACTCAATATTGATCGGTGTACGGATTAGAGTCGCGATCGACTCGTAGCTATTTGACTAGGGTCTGTGATGCCCTCCGATGTAGAGCGTGGACACCGTTAGGGTGACACGAATGTGCTTGATCCTCCACTGGCATCTGCATTCTGGTAATCCCACGAGGTAGGAACTCGCCGACCTTATTCCCAATCACCCCCGACTCTACCAATTTGCCAATGTTTAATGCAACTATTTTTGTAGTTCGCCATGGGAACGCGCACTACTACGTCCAAACAATTCTACTAATTAGAAGGCATGGTAGCCGATCCTGTTATTTCAACACCTTCATTCCATGCGTTTTTCCCAAAGTAACCGTCACATCCATGGTTTGTGCCTAGTTGCGCGTTTTGCGATAAAAAAAACGGTTGCCATGGTTTTAAAAGACAAAATTATGAACTCTGAATCTTTTTATTGGTCGAAATCTACCATTTTTTATTGGCTTTCGTTAGCGGTCACCTGTTACGCACGCGAACTCATACGCACCCAAAAGACACTTGACTAGCATAACGCTAATAAACGGTCGGTCCACTGACGCCTCTCTTCTCCATGTTATCGGTTTCGAAGGGGCTGTAACCATGAACCCTACGGCCTGTGCACAGTTGTGCGCTTCATGATTAAAAAACTGTCTCCATGGCTTGAACTCGAAATCTATTGCTCCGGATCGATTCGCTTAGCTAATCGAAAACTCCAATGACGGTTGCCACCATTACTGTTAATTCTCATGATTGTCAAGCTCGCGGTGACTGGTTTTTTAAGCGACGGATGCCATTCTGACTTAAAAATTGTCCTTCAGAGGTGCGTGGAATAGCCTTTGGCGCCAACTGTACACATTAACACATTTCTTTCACAACGTTACCTAACCATTTTGTATGTCCTCTACTAGAGAAAGCAATAAAGCCCATTTTCTTCAAATACGCATGAGAATTGAACGAGGGATTAGTACTTTGCAATGATAATTGCCGATTCACAGAAGTTGCAAAAACCAATTGACCATATGCAGGTAAAAGGCATGTCCTTATTTGATAATGTCGAGCAAAATCAGCCAAGATTGAAAGTTGATGATGTGGACGGAGCCGTCAAAATATCTTAAAAGGACTTACACAGAAGCGCGATGGCGCCACAGCCGTAGAATGCTTCCTTCGCATAGAGCTGAGTGTTAACACTTGAGAGGATTGCGGCGGAAATGATGGAAGCAGGTATCTTCAATAAAAAAAGGCTTTGTGGATCATCACTGGAAATTAGCCCTCAGAAGTGATGGCAGTTGTTATCGAAGAGGGGCTGTCACACCCCTGATTCGTGAGTGTTATATATTCTGCCGAACGTTCTGCCAACATGTCAAGTAGTCACAACTAAAATGGCCAAATCTAGGAGGTGTTATTGCAAATGCGCATGGGGGATCGCTTGACTTTTTCGTGGTTAGTTCAATTCTACCTGGATGCATACTGATCTCCGGAGTAATGTGGGTGGTTAGTTAACCAGAAAGAACTGAAACTTCGACGTTTTCATTTGCGTAGTTTCACTGCAAAAATTTGACAATGAAGCATCTTGCGAGTTCAAATTATCGCAAGTGTTTTCGAAATCTGTCCTGCGTGGTCCACGGCGTGGGATGACCTTCGGTGAAAATTTCGAGGTGACAGATCCATCGTGGATGATCCGCAATCTACCCATCCAGCAGGGAAGTTATTATCAGTTCCTGCATCAAACCCCCCCCCCCACGCCCAAGTCTCTGTGGCGACCAGCAAGCCAGCACACTTAGCCTTCGTGAGCAAACGCAAATCAATCGATTTTTCGTGAATGCACTGTTGTGGACAGACAGCCACCGCGCGCGTGAGTGCTGCGTGTATGCTTGCCCGATTGCATCAATGACTCACCCTCTTTGTTATTGATTTTTTGTTAGCAGTCGCCTGTAACGCACGCACATCGACATGCACACAGAAACTAGGTACTCGATTTTACTCGACTGGACTTGACTGGCGTGACGCGAGTAAACGGTCGTGTTCCCTGTCAACTCTGTCTTCTCTCTTCTTGGGTTGTGACCGGCTGTTATCAAGAGGGTTTTTGGTAGTGCTAAAATTCGGCTGCCACAGGTGTTTTTGCTTTCCAGTTCCAATTCATAAGATCTTTGGTGCAAAAAACTCAAGAACAATGGGTTCTTTGACGTCAGATGTGAGATTTGGGCCTAGACTTTGCACGGAGACGTACCACTTAGCGAGTAGGTATGTCCTCTGACACAATCTTTACAGAACCATGGTGCTGAGACATGCCAAATCGATCCGCCAGAGATAAAGTCAAGTGATCCACTCATTTAAGTCATTCACAAATCGGGGGTGTGCTTGAATTTCACCAATGCGGCACGCAACACACTGAAATCATCTCCCGGCCGGTCGTACTTCTTAATGAGTCCTACCTCTGCAGCAGTTAGTTTGGATGCAGCCCGATAAGGGTGTTGCACTACTAGACATCACTACTAAAGCCACGACAGTTCAGTGCTCTTGACAACCTCTACCACCAAGTTTGGCACGTGGGGCTGAATCGAAATCACGATCTACGGTTGCAAATTGTGCACAGACGCGCCAAATGCAGCATGTTAGTTCTTTTTTCTTGTCACTAGTTGTTGAACTGACCCGGTCTTACTTTGAATTTGTTCATTTGATGAGCAGAAACCTTTTAATATGCATGCGAACCGATATTGATTGTCGACCGATATTGGTTATTACTTTCAACGTGTTTACGCGTCCAAACTGCTTTGTTATAACTCTGAAAACGTCTTTCTACTTCCAGTACACATATCCTTGTGTAGTGTAGTTTGGCGACGGATCAGGGCGCAGACAAATTGAACCGCCTGGCCTCAGCCAATCCTGTGTCTCTCTGCGTTCCAATGGCATGCAAGGAAGATAAGCAGCCAACCAGAGAAGGACACGAATGAGGTGCAGTATATAATGAGCGGTGTGGCCAGCGTGGTGGACTCGGATGGACGTCGTGATGGTGTGTGGTTCTGGCTTGTGATTGGTCAATAAAACCTATTCTGTTGTACCGGTCTTCTTCCTATTAGGGCACGGTTATTCTACACTTGCAAATTCAAATATAATCATTCTATCTACCAAACGCTTGCTTTCTCGTTGAGATTAGCAACGGTAAATATGGCTACATCTTAAAAAACACCATAGGACCCAAGTCTGTGTTTTCGAACAAGACAAATATCGATTTATAAAACGAATGTGGCATCAAATGAGTTTAAATGCACAGGCTCCTAATTTCAATGAATGGACAAACTCGTGGGAGACAGGCCAATAAATTAGCCAATTGCAGAGCAGAACTAATGAGCTAAAGATTTCAGTGCTGGCGCAGAATGTGGTCCTAGAAACAGGACTTGGGATGAAGTAAAACGAGCCAAAAGAGATTGGTGTTTGATTACCCAATCAATGACCCGCAAACGTAAACACGGTGGATCTACTTTGCTGATCGACAGTTTATAGGCCAGCCAATGAGAGGTGAAGTGCATCGTGTTGATCATCGGCCATCCACGTAGTTGTTGTACCCTCCTACACACGGTCACCCACTTGTACAACATGTCCTTGAGCCATTCGAGACTCTCTGGTCATTCGCACCTATGTCATTGGTACACTAACTAGTTCAGAGGCAATTAATTATTCACCTATGCGAAAATGAACTCTCATGATCACAATCCGATCGTTTTTTTTGTGGAAATCACACCGATTGAAGGGGGGAGTGGTTAGAGTGAGGTGCTCAAATAGGATTTTGTCACATAAACAAAGTGTTGAGTAAGCCAAGGTGCAGATTCGCGGCGTCGAATTTCATTGTGAAGGGTAATTTACACCCTCAAATGACACTCACCCTCGCTGTGTACACGATCCCATAGTTCTCAGCAAAGTGCCTCAAACCCAACCTCGCAGTCACGCCAACAGAAATCAGCAGGAAATTTCCTCCCACGCACAGAAACATGACGGTAATCCACACGCCGTAGAGGTACCTCCCACTGCCAGCAATCCACGGAATGTAGGGCAAACTTGCGAGCACTGCTGCGTAGATTACGTTGACGAGACAAAGTGGAGCCTAGGTGGAAGTGACTGTGCTCGCATTCCGATCCGGACTCACATCGGCATTTGTCTAATTTCATCATCGCTGCTAATGTAGGAGCGTGGTTCCTTATAATTGGTTTAAAATTATTTCCACCTCAGTTATGTTCCATAGAAATAGATTAGTAAGGAATTGCTACGTTCGTCTTTTCTATTGGCACAGGTTCGGCTAATTTGAGGACATCAATTAGCTGATTTCTTCGCACAAATAATCGATAATATGTGGTCACTTACGGGGTGACTCAGTGTGCACTCGAACTATAATTTAGGCCTGTGCACCCACATGCACGGTCATTTTGCAAAGAACAGATTGTAAAACATCTCGATTTTACGTAAATTCAAGAGGTAAAGTTAAAGTCTTATAGTTTATAGTAGTTCTGTTTATATCTCCAACACACTTTCGGTGTAAACCCTCAGATCCACTAGTATTTTTGTGATCTCGTGGCTACTTGATGCAAAATCTTTACTGCGAAGTGGCCACAACCGCTTCCTCATATTCGACAAGTACCATGTTAACCAGAATAAGTATTTAGGGGAACCATAGGCACTATAACCTTTTAAAGAAACTAACCTTAAACGAGATTCTGTCCACGAAGCATCCCCAGATGAGTCGACTCAGAGTGTTAAAGACACCTCCAAGGGCGCCGACTAGGGTTAGGTATCTATCATCTTGAATAGCCGGAAGAGCAAGTGTCTGGGGGGAGAAATTTAAAGCGGCTAAAGCTTTCTTCATCTGCTTAATCAAAAAGTCACCTACGTATCCCTAGATTATGCTGCAGTATCTACTTGAACTTAAGGCCACATTCTTGCATAAGCATTTAGTGGGTAGATCGTACGAACAATCGTTGACATAGGGCCTACACTTGACTCACCTTGACTTGAGCTGAAATAAGAGTGTGAGGGGCTAGTGAGCAAAACATGATGGCCCAGAAGAAGTACAGGTCGCGATGCCGAACAGCTTGCCTTGGAGTCAGGTCCTGGCTCTTGCTAGTCCTTGGACAATCGTTTAAATGCACTGCACTAACTTACCCTTCCGTCCTTGGTGTTTCCATGGCGACGCCTTCGGAGGTCTAGAGTGTGGAATACAAAGGGGCGAACGTCACACAGATTGGCAGTAACATTTAGCCGGATATTTCACGTGAGCAGAAACCACTTTATGAAATGTAACCCACCTCGTCGCTGATTGGCCGTGGCCGAAGAACGCAGCAGCCAATCACCTGCAAGCTTGAGATCAGGGCTCCGGTGATTTGTAGGCAGATGGGGACGCGAACCAGCACTTCGTATTCTTTGAACATGCTTAGAATCGGGCAAAGGTTAGGATTTAATAAATAGCAAAGTTAGCTCACAAGTACACCTGCTTGTAGTCACTAGATATTTCGACATAGTGTAGCTGTGTAGGAATATTATGACTGTGGAGAATATAATGCAGATGCGTAACAGAGTTGGTCTCACTTGGTTCCTGGGCTGACGGGCTTGTTGTTGGGATTGATGAGAAGCGTTTGCACCGGGGCAAGCACTGACACCCCGGAGCCGAAGCCAACGGCGCAGATTCCCATCACAAGACCACGGTTCTTGGGAAACCACTAAAAGGCCGAGGTTACTTTTACACAAGCGCTTTACTGTGCGCTGCACCTCTGCAAGACCTCTCGCTCAAATTCGAAAAAAAACTAGTCGTGGTTTTTTGTAGAAGAGTGAAGACGGTACGAAACGCCACACCGGGCATTAAATGCCGTATCGTGCATTTTTTAGTGTAACACGATTAAATTCGAGGATGGAACAAGAGCTCTCGATGCTTCACACCGACAAGGCACGTCAAATTCAACGTTACCGTAATTGCCGCTTGCAGACTGAGTCCATAACCGATTCCGACAGCTGAGCTGGCCAAAATTGCGTAGGTGAAGAAAAAGAGGCCGAAGTTGGCGTTAATTGTGAATGAAGAGACGAACACGCTGATACTGAAATGGCAGCAGTAGTAAACGATGACACATAATTGAGCCACAGGTATTCAAGATTTCTTTGCATTTTTAAAGATAACAGTTTAATGCAAACTAGGGGGACGTTTTTGAGTGCAAGAAACTTTTGTCCGAGATTTTAACAAAACTTTTCAGTAATCAGATTGCTTATTTTGCTTCACTGTGAGACTGTTTGCAAAAATTATGTCAGATTGGTTTGGAGTTAATGATTTCTGCTGCTTTGACCAATTGACTTAGTTCTGGAGTGATCACCACGCACGCGAAAATATTAATTTGGGCGTTACCTAACTTTAGAGCAGCCTCAAGCAAATTTGTTTTAATCAGCTACCAAAACAGATTACCGCAGATTTTAAGCCTATGGAGCTAACCTCATCCTTGTTTTTAGGTAGAATCGGTCTATTTTATTAGGCACACCGGTTTCCCACTTCATTCAATTTGAAGGTACCTTTTGTAGCCTCCTAACTTACCTGTTGAGCAAACACGCACTCAACACCAGTCGTCTGAGTCCCATCTTCTTCCAAAGCATTCCCGAGAGAGGCATTGTGATTCCAAACATGGCCGACGATCCAGCAGCCAACCAAATGGAGTAGGCATGGTCAACACACTCGTCGACGTTTTCGTGCAGATACGAGATGATGTAGGGCGACATATTGCCTGAAAATGAGGTGCCTGGTAAGAGGCATAGTGTGACGTACTTATCGTGCCCACTTGACCGAGGGAGAACATTATGAGGAATGCGGCAGCCACAACAAAGCCTCCATTAACCGATGCCTTGGAGACCATGGCGGTGAATCGAATGGAACAGCACACTGAAACCCTCACACATGGGCTAACTTGCTTTTACATATGTGTGTGTTTGCATGTGGGCCAGTGTTTCAGCCAATCACAAAGTGCTTCAGGTGCTCACGTTGTGGCTAAGATTGCATTGTAATGTGTCTGCATAAACAGATAAATTGACATAAAATATGGCAGTTTTGTTGGAATGCAAACGCACTCTTTTAAAGTACGAATGCAAGTGAACCCACCTAACTGTGAACAAGTCATTGTACGTATTCAGTCCACCGTGCTATTCTGTTGGGTTGGCTTTTAGTAAGTAGATTCTTAAAATTTATGCACAAAATCGATTGCGACAGATTAGTAAATGTTGACGAAAATCTGCGAACTGTTAATGTTCTTAGAGCTCAGGTTAGCTGCAAATAATGGTGACATTAAATGCTTGAAAATGAATGCTAAACCAAGTCACATTAAGCAGGATTCGCAAAACCAGCGCGCATCTTCTCTCCTGGCACCCCGCCTAATTTGGTCTCAAGCCGACATCAGAATATTTGAAAAATGGACTGCGCTATTTGCATAAGTAGATGTGTGTTCTCACAGCAGTTGGTTGGTGATCTTTGACAATGGCAAGATTTCAGTGAATCATCTCCATGGATCAAATTCATGAGGAACCTATACGTCTTAATGGAATTCGGTCTGACGTGTCACTTGGCCATTGGCTGAGACTGTTAAAGCTCACTGTCCTAGCTTTGGATTGGGCGAGACGCGCTCAGATAACAA